GGGCCAGGAGAGTGCACCCGACAACACCTTGCAGGATGGTTGTTTCATTCTGGGTCTCTCTTCCTCAGTCCCAGGGGTTCCATGGCTTCACCTGCGATCTCATTCCCCAAGGAGGAGAGCTTTCAAGTCAGCCGCCTGTAGGCAGTGAGGGAGTAAGAAGCCACCAGCCATGGGCCAGCTGCAGCCTCAGGAACTGAGGGGACTCTAAACCAGGTGGACCCATCGAAGGCCCAAGGGAGAGCCTTCAGCAGCACTCCCAAGGCCTACTGGGATAGTCCAGTGGCCCAGACCTGGGCATACAGCAGGGCAGGCTTGGGGCCTGCTGGCAGTTCCAGCAGTGGTAGCGGACACAGTTAGGAGGGAGAGAGACAGGAGGCTGGTCACGCAGGACTGCCCTTCCCAGTCCCAGACTACTTTCAGAGAGCAGCCGGGTCTCTCTAGATGCTTTCTGCCACCTCCAGGTCATCTTGGAGCCACCTCCCCTGTGGTTGGACATCTCCTGCCTGAAGTCACACCCACTGCTGGAAGCCATACCCTCTGCTGTAGCCTTCGGAACTTTGTGCCCTGGAGCAGGGCTTGGATGGCCTGCTGTGAGCAGGCTTGGGGGTTCTCTGCAGTTTCTCCCACCATGCTGCCCACTGCTTCTCAACCACCTCCTGCTCACCAAGCACATTATTCTCACCGAACCCCACCTCTCTGGAAAGGAGGGACTATTGTCACCAGGGCCATTCAACCAGTAGGGGACAGCTGGGGTTAAGGCTATATGATCCAGGGCGACACAGAGTTGGGATTTCAGCTTTTTTTTCCCCTCAAAGTCCCTTATCTCAGCCTGAGTGACTGGCAGAGAAAGCTTCTTCAAGGAGGTGACCCTTTCCCTGAACTCTCTAAGATAACAAAAAGCACAGGGCATGTGAGGGAACAGGGTCCTGGAAGGCAAATAGCACACACAGAGGCCTGGAGGTGAGAAGCAGAAGGAAGGTGACTGAGCTGCGACGGTGGCCAGGTTCAGAGGAAGAGGCAGGAAGAGGCTGGAGGGCAGTGGGCACAGGGCCTGACAAGGAAGGCCAACAAAGAGGCCACTGTGCTAGCTTCATCCTCAGGGTGCTGAGTGGGAGAACAGCTTGGTCAGACGAGGAAACCAAGGTTCAGATAAGAACAGATCTCTGTCAATAAGATGGTCCATCCAAAGGGGGGGATGAAGTGGGGCCTGGTGTCTCACCTCGGCTGCACCCTGCAGGCCCTATGTGGGCTTCATGACAGGCCAAGACCTGTAGCCAAGCTCTCATTGTTCCTGAGACCACCGCCAAGCAAGCTCTGGGATTCCTGTAGCCTGGCCCGGACCAATGAGTGGGCTGAAGCCTGGCAGGCTGGGCTGTACCTGCTCTTCACTGACTAGGATGGGTGGATGGATGATGGCAGCTAGCTAGGACAAGGGGAAGGCAGGTGGGTATGGAAAGGGTGCATCCCAATCTCCCACAAAGCCTTCCAGGAGCCCGGACAGTCAGGATGAGAAACGGAGGCCTGGCGAGGCCGTGCAGGCTGGGTGGGCTCCATGGTTGCATGCCTAAACGTACGGCAAAGCAATTTCACCTAAACACAAGCATTCCTTACCCCTCCGAGCGTCTACAAGGTAGGGATGACTCAGAAGCCTCCCAGGGTCAAGCATCTCACAGACTGGAGGAGCACCAGAAGATGCACACAGCCTCGGTGGCAAATTCTTGGCAAGTACGAATAGGTGTTGTGTTTGAAGGTCTGGGAGCAAAGGCCTGGCCAGAGATCAGAATCTCCACCTCTGCTCCCAGACACCAGGAAGCAACAGGAAACCTAGACCTACGTGAGTCCGCAGTTGCGAGTCCCACCCAACTTCCCCTGGCTGGAGCCCTAGGGCGGCAGACCTTTCCTCTGCTTTGATGGCACTTTGGGAACTGAAGCCCCAGCAAGCTTCCCTTCCCTGGCCCACCAGCTGTGGGCCAAGAGCCTGCCCTGCAGATAAGCATCAAGACTAAGAAGACCTCAGTGTGAGTTCCAGAGCCAAGGACAAGCTGCATGTCTTAAGAGTCAGGTCACCTCTTTAAGCACAGGTGACGTCTATAGCATGCATGGGATCTGTGCCACCTTTTATGTGTGTTTGTTTGTGGAGACTGGATCTCACTATGTAGACCAGGCTGGTCTTGAACCCAGAAATCCGCCTGCCTCTGCCTCCCAAGTGCTGGGACTAAAAGCACGAACCACCATGACCAGCCAGCCCTGGGCCACTTATTTTAAGATGACAAGTCCTTCTTGTAGAGCTGAGCTCAGAAGTAGCCTTCTAAAGGAAGCTGTCTCTGCTCCCTCCTTCCCTCTGCCCCTGGTACTATGAGCTATACCAGAAGTTTGGATTCATTGTGCCTACACTGCCCATGTTTACAAATGATAACCACTGCCCTCACCCTATTTTGAAGCCTAGAAGGGTACAGGAGGCTGAGCAACTAGAGTCCTTGTGGATAGAGAGGGCAGAGAGGGAGGTATCAAGGATGGAGTGAGTCTGGGCCAGTATCCTGGAATAGGGTATCCTCAGTGTGTGTGTGTGTGTGTGTGTGTGTGTGTGTGTGTGTGTGTGTATGGTGTGCGTGTGTGAGTCCTGGAGCTGGAGTTGGTGTGTGTGTGTGTGCCCTGGAGCTGGAGTTGTTGAGACACAGGTGTAGATGCTAGGAACGAACTCTGGTCCTCTGCGAGATCACTAAGTATCTTACTATTAGACGGTTTCTCCAGCTCTGTGGGGAAGAATTTCTAAATACCTTCCTCTCCCCTTCTTGCCAGCCCCATGAGACTCCCCATGTTCTAACGCAGGACGGAGAGACAGGTTTCCTGGTGGGCACACGAGAAAGCAAGCTCGGTAAAGTCAAGCTGTGTGCCACCAATATCTGCTGCTACTAGAAGCCATCACACTTTCCAGTCCACACCACTGGCGTCAGGGACTTCTGCCCGCTGACTGCCTAGGACTCCACCTCACCCATCTCAAACCAAAGCAGCTTCCAGCCAGCGTCAGCGCTCTCTTGTCCTGTCTCAGATTACCAGCCGCCCCTGTTCATCATTGCCCACATCCTTATGAGAAGTAACAGACCCTACTGTCCACATCACACTCTCCACCACAGCAACTCAGGCCCCGAGCCAACAGGCTGGGCAGGCAGAGCTCTTGATCAAATTCTGCCACACTATGCTGTGTGACCTTGGGCAAATCACTCCGTCTCTCTGAGCCAGTACCTCTGTCTATAAAATGAGATGACAAGGAAAGCTCCACAAGTCTAGTGATTTAAAGAGCCAAGGGGACAAGATACAAGGTTTCCATTTCTGTGCCCTGTCCTCTGTGCGCCCTGCTAAGAGAACCAGAACAACTCCCAGGCATGACAGTCCCTCTAACATTTTTAGGCTAAGACTCTGGTAAAAGATGCTTAAATTCAGGGTTCTGCTTGGCAACTCAGTAGCCATGGAGCAGGTAACTCAACCCCAGGAACCTGTTTTCATCTATAACATAAACCACTATGAAGTATTAGCACCCCACGGGCTGCAGCACTTGGGGGTCTCATTGATGTCAGCGGCATTGCTAGTACTAGTCCTCAAAACGGTCCTAAGACATTGCTAAGGCAGCAGTTACAGGTCATATGAGAAACTGAGGCAGCCAGGCTCCATACGCCCAAGTCATAGGCTAGTCCAGAGCGGGCTGTCAGGCTGACTGGCGATCAAAAGAACTCCAAGAGGGGCCAGTGATAAAAATATGACTAGGCAGGTGAAGGCATTCACTGGCAGCCTGAGGAGGTTGAATTTGAGGGAGGGAACCCACAAAGTAGGAGAGCATCGACTCCCACAAACTGTACTCTTATCTTCACATACATGCTTTTTTTGCATGCAACCCATCCCCCCAAAAATGTTAAATAAGAAAACACCTCAAGGCCTCAATAGACTGCTTCCAAGTGGGAGTGTCGGTCAGCATAGCTTTCCGGAGTGCTGGGCGTGTGCCACCTGGTGCCGTCCCAGCTCTGACACTGTGTGTGCTCCTACGGTATGTGTGTGGGGGGGGGGCTGACCTGATCCCGTGTGCCCAACACAGGCAGACACACAGCAGGTCTCAGTAATGTCAACTGAAAGGCCTCTTAGGTATATGTGGCTAGAAGAGTCTGGTCTCGGTACCAGGAACTCCATTCCTTTACCGCAGCAAATGCCTGCTAATTCGGTTGCGGCCCCACAGCCACCTGAATACACGCCCACGCAAGAAGGAACTTCCATCAGTTGCTCTGGGTGTGCACTGGCCACGCTCAGCAAAAGCAGCGGGGCTCGCGCAGGGCCAGCCTACCCTGCCATTGCTCAGGTCGCTTCCAGGAAACACACTCTTCCTCCTGGGCCCCTCCTTGCTGGTGGCCCCATGACTCACAGCCAGCCTGGGCTGGCAGGAGAACGCTGTCTGAAGGGTGACTCGACAGAAAGGCAACGGTTGTGACCAGGACCGGAGCCTACCACGAGGAGGATGCGCGCGCGGGGGTGCGGCCAGGGCAGGGCCTAGAGCCGAGCCCCGTACAGCACACCGCCGTCCCCACGATTGGCCGTTCCGGCCACAGGCCTATGGGGTGGTCCTTGCGCAGCCAATCAGGGGCCCCGGGGAGCCCATTCATTCATAAAACCGAGCAGGGAAGGAACCCCTCGCGGCCCGAACTGCGTGGAACTTTGAAATGAGCGCGCCCAGTTGGACCCAGGTTGAGGTTCCGATCCTTGTAGGTTAGCGGTGTGCAGGGGCTGCGCTGCCGCGTCCCCGCCCACAGTACCGGGCCCGTAACCCCAGCACACGGCGCTGAGCTCCACCCTAAGCAGGACACGCCTGCCACCAGGCTCCTGCCGACAGCTAAGAACCATCCGGCCCACAACAAGGCCGTGAGGCTGGGGCAGGTGGCCCCGTGACGGATGCAGCCACGTGCGCAGCGGAGCATGGCGGCCCCCACGGTTCCCCTCCCCCGATCGCCGTCACTCACGGCAGTCGTCCTCGTCGCTGTTGTCTGAACAGTCGTTGTCTTCATCGCATCTCCACACCGAGGGGATGCAGCGCTCATTCCGACACCTAAACTGGTCCTCTTCGCACTCCTTGACCGGCCCTGTGGGGGAGGGGGTTGTGAGCCAGATCATCCACTCCCCACCGCGCAGCCCCGGTCCAGCAGGTATAGGAAACGGAGATATCGGTGAACTCCGAGGCTCCAAGCACCTTAATCCGGAGGGAGGACAGGATGCCACGGGTTCCTCCACTGTAGGGCCGACCGATGGCACAGCGAGACTCGACCCATGCTTACAGCCCGTGGATATACTCTGCATTCAGACACACTCATCCTCACACATAGCGCAAGTCAGATCCATGCAGACCCAGCTTATGAGGAGCCCCGCACACCGGCGACACACGCACCGGGCGCACGGGATCAGTCCCCTAGCAACCTGTCACTCTCCTCGGCCCGCAGGGGTCCCTGGAAACGCTTTGTAAGGAAAGGCTGTGTGGTTGCTTCGCTCATCATCGTGGCGGAGCGCGCGTGTCAAATGAACCAAACCGCTTACCCGAGACGCTGAACGACTACCCCCCGCAAAGTTCACGGGCGAGGGGGACCCCAGGGCCCATCCCCCAAGAGGATGCTCGGAACGGGGGCAGAGCTTCCGTACCCAGAGCGGCGAGATGAGGTCCAGGGCAAATCCAGGGAGCTGGAGCCCCCGGAGCCTCTCTCGCCGGGCCTCGCCGCACAGCGCCCCCTCCCCCTGGCCGCGCTTTGTTGCCGGCTCAGAGCCGGCCGGGAAGAGCCGTACGCACCTTGGCCGCCGGGCAGCGGATCCGCTGCGGAGAGATGCTGGAGCTGCAACAGCAGCAGCAGCAACAGCCACAGCGCCAGCGGCCGGAGCGCGCCCAGCTCTGGGCGGCCCATGGCGGGCCCGGGGCTCCGGCCGCCGTGCCCCGCGATCCCCGCGCCGCCGCCGCTCCTCAGCCCGCCAAGTGCTTGCCGCGGCGCCGGAGCTGCCGCTGTCTTCGCCGCCACCACCACCGCTGCCGCCCGCCCCGGCTCCCCGGCTGCATTTCAAGCAGGTTCGGTGACGCTTGGCGGCGGGGCGGGCTCAGGCTGGGCGCGCGGCCCCGGCCCTGGGCGGCCGCCGCCGGCGCGCGCGCTCCCTCCCGCCGTCTTCTCCGCCCCACGCTCCGCCTGCTGCCGCCTCTTCTCCTCCCCCGCCTGTCCTTGGTCCCCCGTCCCCCTCCCCTCCAGGCGAGAGCCCCACGACCCTGCTCTAGGTGCGCTCCTGTTGCGGGCGCTGCAGATACAAGGACGGGCCAGGCTAGGCCCTTGGCCCCCTGGTTTCCCCGCGGAGGTGGCAAGCGGGTGATAGAAGTAGGGATGTGAAGGAGAGCTGGGGCTCCAGGGAAGGTGATGTTCCAGACGCACAGGCCAGTGGAGTGAACCCACGGAGCGGGGGTGGGGGGAGGAGAGACTGAAAGCATTGGCAGGGAGAAGCTAGGGGTGCCAGGCAGGACCTGTCATGGCTTCAGATCTGACGAGCGGTTGCTTTCCCTGGCCGTGTGCATCCGTGACTGTAACACACTGTGTGATCCTGGGCGGAAGTCTTGGGTCTGACGCCCAGACTGTTATCCACAATCAGCCTTCTCCACGGGCCCAGGCAGAGAAGCAGGTCAGGGGCCTTGCTGGCAAGGCGAGGTAACCCTGTGGAGCCCCAGAGGCTGTGTCATCCCTGCCACCAGAGGCCGCACAACATCTAGATCCTCTGTTTGGGCCCCACTAGCCTCTGCACAAAGAAGGTTCTACAGCCCCACCTCCCCTACAGAGCAGCGCTTAGACTAGATTTCAGCCACCTGCTGGCGAGCCTGGCCCAACCTTCAGAGAGTAAGATTCTTTGAGGGTGTCAAGGCCCAGTGTTAAATCGGCCCCCTCTCTTTTGAAGAAAAGGGTAGAAGCTGCGATGACTGGACCAGGAAGGCACGGAGTCAGCAGACTTCTTAGTTTTATGTCTTCCCAGCCCATGACAATGGCTATAGCCACTCCACCAGAAAAGAACAGAGACCTTGGGAGACCATAAGGTGCTCCTGCCATCGTCCCTTGATCATGTTCAGCCCCCATTCTGGATCTGGAAATTCCGGCCACAGTAAGGTTCCTTCTGTTGACTTCATCAACAGAAGATAAGAAAATGTAACAACTGTAAGTTTGAGGCCAACCTGGTCTGCAGAGTGAGTTCCAGGGGACAGGCTCCAAAGCAATACAGGGAAACCCTGTCTCAAAAAAAAAAAAAACCGACAAAAAAGAAAAGAAAAGAAAAAAGAAAGAAGAGAGAGAGAGAGAGAGAGAGAGAGAGAGAGAGAGAGAGAATGTAACAAAACTTATGTAGCATGTACAGTGTGTCAGGCTCTGGCCAAGGCTCAAGGCTGCAGAATGGTCCTTCCCCACCCTCCCCACCCTCCTCACCCTCCCTACCCTCCTGATGCTTACATATTAATCAGAAGAGAGAAATGCAGAGGCAAAAAATGGATTATTTCGGATCATCACAATTGCTATGAAATTATAAGCAGTGAGAACACGGAGGTAATTTCGAGAAGGCAATCACTTGAGAGGAGGTGACATTTCCCTGACAGCAAGGAGCCTGACCACACGAAGGCCAAGCAAAGGCCATTCCTGGCAGAGAGAAGAGCAAAGGAGCAACGTCACGCTAAGCTGGCACCTAGTGACGGAGGGGCAAGTGCAGCAGGAGAGGCTGTGGGGGAGGCAGCAAGGCCCAGTCACAGGGTGGCTTTGGCCGAGTTTGGATTTTGTCCCAAGCACAATACTACCATCTGTTAGGATGGAGCCCCTCCTGCAGCCCCAGATCCACCCACCCAGCCTTACCTCCCTTTTACCCTGCCCTTGGGAAAGTCAGTCCCATCACTGGGCTCAGTCTCCCGGGTGAGAGGACAGGAAGCTGCTGAGATTGTTGCGTGCGATAAAGGTCAGAGGCAGCAGGTAAATAGGCTGAGAGTGCTGTCCTTGGGTCTGACTGCCGGGCCTGAGCCTGCCCCTTTTCTCCCTGACCCTCTCTGACCATATGAACTTAGGCTCCTCCATGTCTGTGGTTCAGACTCCACACGTACAAGATGGGGCAGGGGCAGTACCCACCGCACAGGGTGCTGTGAGATTTCCATTAGATGCGGTTGTGCAAGAGCCGGGTACAGAACACAGCAGATGCCAAATGCACTTTAGTCAATATTACGATTATTCAAACGCCTTCCTCAAAAACCTCTGATTGCTCCCCAAGCCTCGAAGAATATAAATGGCCCAGCCTGGAGCTATAGCTCAGTTGGTAGGGGCCTATAATTTGAGCCACTTGGGAGGCTGAGGCAGAAGAAACTCAAGTTCAAGGCCTATCTGGGTACAGAGTTCAGGGTCAGTCCTGGAGGCCTCCACAGCAGGCCTCCTGAGTAGCCAGAGGCCGGATTCCTGCTCTACACACCTTCCTATTCTTCCCTCTGCCCCCGAGAGCTCAGCTTCAGGCCTTTTCCACTTTGTACCCTCTGCCTGGAACATTCACCTGTGCTGGTACTGTCCGTCCTCAGGCCTCTGCTCTCTTAGCCTCCTCTGGGGAAAGCTTTTGTTCTCTCTACAGATATCCTCTGCTCCCCTTGTGCAGAGACCTCAGATCAGCAGGGGTTCCCAGTGCCTGCTTTGCCAGCCCTGGTGGCTTGCTCAAGGGGTGGTGTGGCCCCAGACATCTGCCTCAGGACCAGAAAGCATGCTGCACACAAAGTAACAGGCTTCCCTCTGGTATTTTCCCACATGCTTATTTTTGGTCGATCCTGCCCACCCTCTGCTGGTCTCCCCGTCTCCGTGGTCTGGGCCCCACTTGTACCTTTTCAACTCCAGCAACCCCCCTTTCACTTTCATATCATATATTCTGATATTTCTTCACCCACTCCCTTAACCTCCCCTCTTCCCCTTCACTGGCCCCTTTCCAGGTCCTGACCTGAACCCAAATTCACATGTGCATAGGTACTCATATATTCAAATCAGAAGCCAGGATCCACGTGTGAGAACGCAGGAGGTGTTCGTCTTTCTGGGGTACCCCACTTAATGCCTCCCAGCCTCATTCTTCTCCCAGAAAAAAAAAGCATAATTTTATTTTCCTTGTGTGTGTGTGTGTGTGTGTATGCACACGCACATGTGTGCAGATGCATGTGGAGGCCAGAGGACTCCTCCCACAGACGTTCTTCAGATGCCATGTACATTGACATAGGTCTCTTCCCAGCTAGGAACTTGCTAATCAGGCCGACTAGCCAGCGAGCCCTAGAGAGCCTCCATTTCAGCTGATTCAAGCATTTGGGAATACAAGCCCCTGACACCATACCTGACTGCTTGTGTATGGGTTCTGGGATCAAACTCGGGCCTTGTGTTTGCAAGGCAAGCACTTTATCAGCTGAACTAGTTGCTCAGACCCATAATTTCACTTTTCTATGCAGCTGAATAAAATTCCATGTGTATATCTGTCATATTTTCAAACTATCAATCAACAAATGAGCCACTGAACTGAACAGATAGTTTTCAAAGGAAGAAGTATAAATATTCAATCAATATTTTAAGGCACATTCAACATTTTGAGCCACCAGGGAAATGTGAACTAAAACTACTTTGAGATTCTCACCGTCGTCAGAGTGGCCGTCATCAAGAAAACAAATGGCAGCCAAGCTGATGAGGGTCTGGGGAAAAGGAGCTCTTACTCACTGCTGGTGAGAATGAAAATCTGTGTGCAGCGTCCTCAAAGAACTAGAAGACTAGATCTATCCTGGCTTAACTTTATCACGCTCGTGAACATAACACGACTCTGCCCACGGCAGAGATGCCTGCACAGATGAGTGGGAGACATAACTGTGCTCACAAACACGGTGTCTTTTCTGACCTCAGTGTGGATGCCACACCATCACTGCTGGGACACACAGGTCAGCCTATTCATGTGGGAGGGAACACAGGCATTTGACCACCAGGAGGCAAAGAGCCCAGGGAATGTCCTTCAGGCAGGCTCCTAGGGTTTGTGGGCTCAGGTTAACATACCTGAAGCTCTTCAGAGGACGTCAGCACACGCACACAGGGCGTGAGTGATTGCTCTCATTACTGCTGTGGTCACGCTCCTGCCACACACAGAGTAAGCAACTGGGAAGGACCCTGAGCAACCACCATTTACGTAATCGCCGTTGACTGCAGGACCTCTGGAGAAGGCAAGACTCTCGGCAGCTGAGAGATGACCGTGGTTCAAGAGTTGCCGAAGAGGAGGACAAACCTAGCTTCCATTTTTTGCTCCTCAGCCAAGCGCTGTCAGGAGACAGCTGGGGACACCACTCCTCCACCATTGCCTTCTGTCAATACTGGGGAGATCCCCCTCTTTCTCCAGATTTGCAGTCCCTGGCCCTAGCCCCTGGCAGTTGGATTAGGTGAGCGTTTCCTCTGTCTTCTGTCATACCCTTCCCAATTAAATGAAATTTCCCTTTTCCAGGAGTCTCTTCAACTATCCTCCTCCTACGTCATCTCTCGGGATCTGAGGTATGTTGCTCCAGAAACACTCTTTCCAGGAGTACCAAAATCAATGTATAGCCAGGCAAAGTGGCACGATCCCAGAACTTGGGAAGCTGGGCCAAAGAAGAGCGAGTTCTAGGCCAGCCCGGAGTACACACAGAGAACCTGTCTCAAAAGGAGAAAAGACAACCATGTGAAATGACTCCATATTTACATATAACCTAAGTACATCTTCAGCACTCGGCTAGGCCACCTACAGCATGTTTAGAACACCCAACACAGTGTGAACGCTCCGTAGGTGTTCTGTTGTATTGTTCAGGAGCACCAACAAGGGGAATATCTGTATGTGTTCAGTAGATACACTGTTTTTATACAGTGTCTTGCTGTCTATGGTCGATTGACTCCAAGGACTGAAACTCATGCATACAAAGCACTACTGTATCTTCCTTAAATCCTCTCACTTAGTAAACTTGGCTGGTAACTAAACTCAGGTTCTCTGAAAGAGCAGCCAAAGCTCAAAACCTCTGAGCCATCTCTCCAGCCCTTAATCCAAGTTGTATTTGCATGCAGTCACTGGGTTCCCACTTCCTTTTCCTATTGGCT